CTTGAGTAGAGTACCGGTAACGAAGTATTTGTACTTCGTTACTTCCCATCTCTGAGTATAAGCTTTAAATGTAAGGTACACCCTAAATATTCTGTTCCATAAACTTAAAAAGTAACACCTTAAAAATGGGATTAAACTGAATAAATGACAGATGAAGGAACATAAATGAATGCACTTACTGGAATACCAACTATCCCTCTAACTCCAACAGCGCCTGCTGCACCAGGCTCCCCCTGATGACGAAATCCACAGTTAGTACAAATAAATATATGTGCTTTTCATTTTAGATGCAAGTGGTTATATTTACATTACCTTTATCACAATTGTTAAATCATGGTAGTTCATTTTAAAGATTGGAACAATACTTCAAACTCTACTTTTGAAAAAGATATTAGTCAGAGTGGTTCAAGTTATCCCGAGCTATCTCTATAGTTATGCTGCTATAGGCTTAAGCTGCTGGAGGACATGGGGTCCACTTTTCTTCATTGCTATTTTCCTATTCTTCAGTATTTACAAATTAAATCCCTAACTTTATGTTCTCTCTGCGTATCATTTCATAGTAGCTTCATCTGACCTGATCCTATTTGGCTGTAACACCATTGTGGTGAAAAATATGAGCTGAGCTGCTGCCATCTACACCTTGGATTATATGTAATATAGTTGGCCCTGTTTTTTTAGTGCTCAGTCTTTTATCTCTCTGAGACATACTGTAGCTATAGCCTTAGTTTTACTGTAACCAACTTGGTGTGCAGTAGTAACACTAAAGAGTTTTACGCTTCAGGAAAGCTTAAAGTGCAGGAAAACTATTGTTTGTTGTTGATTCAGAAAAATATAAATCTTTTTTTTTTTTGCACAGGTCAAACCTGTTGTTGAGGAGAAGTTTAGCTAGTATAAATTACAGTTTTATTTCTGTGGAAAAAACAAGGTATGGGATTTTAGAGATACCTTGATACCATCAGATCCAGGAAGCCCATCCAGTCCATCCTTGCCAGGCTCACCCTTCAGCGCCACAATAGACAGTAGAATATTTTAGAAAAACTGAAGATGCTAGACAGAATATATCTGAATATCAACACACTTACGACTTCTCCTTTTTCTCCTTTAACACCCGGCTTTCCTTGTGGTCCCATAGCTCCCTTTATAAAATATTTATATAGTAAATATTATTTGTGCTTTTTTTAAAAATACATTTTTAAATCCCACAAAAACATCAGCTTTTCAGAACTCACATCATCGCCCTTCTCCCCTGGCAACCCCTCGCGTCCTCTGGCTCCCTCCACACCCTGAGAACAGTGATTTATCAATAACATCCTTCCTGTCTTAAAACAGCTAACAAGAGAGGCAACCGAATTGATCAGAACCAAATCAGACTGCTTACAGGAGCTCCGGGTGGACCAGTTGGACCTGGGACACCGTTGTAACCAGGAGCGCCCTGTAAAAACAGAGAAGTCAGATTTCTCCATGGAAACAAATCACTATGTCATCAGCATAAAACTTACTCGGTCTCCTTTCTCTCCTGGGGTCCCTGGGAATCCGATTGGTCCTCTTTGCCCCTAAAACAAAGTTATATATTTGATCTGTATATTGTATTGTATTGTATTGTATTATATAATTATATATAAAATAAATCCCCCTACATCGTCCCCCATGCGACCTGGTGGACCCTGAGGACCTGTCTCGCCAACTTCCCCCTTAGACAAAAACAAAAAGCATTGACATAAATTCACTGTTCAAACAGATAGAACTGGTTCAAAAGATTAATTCTTTGCAAACCTTTTCTCCAGGCTCTCCATCTTTTCCAGGCTCTCCAGGCAGTCCTTTGTGACCCTAAAGACAACAAATCAAAACATATGTATGCATGGTAATAGTCATAACAATCACTCCCTTTATTTAAGCATGTTCAAGTTTGCTGTTATGATGCACCAATGGAGGAATAATTTAAGAGCTAATATACGGCCGAACATTTTTACTCTAATTTACCAAATATAATTCATTGGCTCGTTGATGCCTGTTTCTATAGATTTCGACCATTGGTAACTCTTTGATATCAAAGCTCTAAACGGACAAAAACAGACAGTTTACTGTCTTAAAGCTACAGTGTGTAATTTTCAGCGACATCTAACGTCCAGACTTGCAGACTGCAGCAACATGAACATCTCCCCCCCACCGTCTCTCCCCCCCAACAATACGGCGAG